TCTTCTTATGTTGACATTACTCCCCAGTGGTGAGACTGAGGTTCCCACCTCTTCAATTTGGGCAGGCCTGTGACTATGCTGGAAGTGATGCTTTGTGACTTCTAAGCTAGGTCATAAAAGGCCATAACAGCATCTGTCTGGCCCTCTTGTTGCAGTCACTCTTGCAATCAAGCTGCCAAGCTGTGAGGAAGCCCACACTACATTTAGGTGCTCAGGCCAAGGGTACCAGTTGAAGTACCAGCTGACAACCAGCATCAACCATCTAACATGCGATTGAGGACTTCAATATGACACCAGCCTCAGCCCCCATCTGACTTCAACCATATGAGAAAACCCGAAGCAAGAGCTACCTAGCTGAGCACAGGAAACCCAGAATCATGAAAGATACAAGTGTTCTATACCAAATCAACTTTAGGGTCATTAATTACATAGTCAAAGATAATCAGAGCAATTTAGTTTTAACCATGAAGAGAATGCAGACAGTGAGTTTTCTTATAAAATAAATCTCTGTGTATTGTTCTTGCCCCTGTGCTTAAAAAAATAAACAAAATCTCCAAAAATAAAAGAGCTCTTTTTTTTAAAGATTTTATTTTACTCATTTATTTGACAGAGATCACAAGTAGTCAGAGAGAGAGGAGGAAGCAGGCTCCCCGCAGAGCATAGAGCCCCACGTGGGGCTCAATCCCAGGACCCTCAGATCAAGACCCGAGCCAAAGGCAGAGGCCCTAACCCACTGAGCCACCCAGGCGCCCCTAAAAGAGCTCTTTAACTGACATTTTTTTTAACTGACCATAAGATTTGGAATGGCCAATAAGCATACAAAAAAATCCTCAGCATACTTAGTCATCAGAGAAACAGAAATTAAAACATGTCCATTATGAACAACTACTGAGATGTCGCACATTGTATACCACAGCTACAATTTGAAAGACTACTGGAGAGTACTGGATGTAAACATGCAAATGTGAATAAAGTGGAACCCTCATGCATGTGCTGGAATGCACAATGGTGCAGCCACTTTGCAAAACAGTTTGGTAGATCTTCAAAATGTAAACATATATCCTGTGACCAACTGAACAAAAATGTACTTAAACAAAAAATGTTCCTAGCAGTGTTATTCATAATAACCCAAATAAGAAAACAGATCTATCAACTTGTGACTGTATAAACAAAATGTGTTAGATGTACACAATGGAATATTATTCACCCATAAAAAAGAAGACTGATTCATGCTACAACATAGACAAATCTTGAAATCATCATGCTAAGTGAGAGAAGCCAGAGACACAAAGGCCACATATTACGTGATTCCACATATAAATGTGCAGAACAGGCAAACCCATTAAAACATAAAGATCAGTGGTTGCCAGGAGTTGACAGAAGGAATAATGGGCAGTGACTGCTAATGGGTATGGGTTTTTGAGTGAGGAATATTAAAACTGCTCTAAAATTAGATGGTGGAGATAGTTGTACAACTCTGAATATACTAATAGCCACTACTAACAAAAATGAAAGATATTTTATACAAATATAACTTCAATTACTATTGTTATTACTAAATTCCAATTGTTACTTCTGGGTAGAGGGGTTAAAAGTAGAGCCACATATCTTTTTATAACCAACATGTAACTTTAAAAAAAAACAAAACTAAAAAATGTAAAAGATCAAGATTAAAAGAAAGTATACAATCATGAAAGAACCAGTAACACATTTCTTACCTTCCCTAAAAGTAGTCTGCATGGCATTATCCGTACACAAACTGGACTGATGCCTTCTTCCATGACAAATGGACCTTAAGGCTAGCATAAGAAAGTTTTGTCTAGAAAAGACTTCTGCTCTGAGTAGCTGTTCACATACATGCCAATTTAGAACGAATTCTCCCATTTCCCTGTCTCAAGTGATCAGCCTTCCTGGGAGTGCTCCAGGCCACTCTGGGAAAGTGTACCATTGAGACTACAAATTAATACATCTCGGGACATCTGGGTGGCTCAACTGGTTAAGTGTCTGCCTGGGGCTCAGGTCATGATCCCAGAGCCCTGGGATTTCCACCCCCACCCCCAATCTGGCTCTCTGCTCAACGGGGAGCCTGCTTCTTCTCCCCTGCTTGTGCTCTCTCTCTTATAAATAAATAAATAAATAAAGTCTTTTTAAAAAATTTTTAATTCATCTCACCCCTGGTTCCATCCCCAGTCACACACAGATTAGTTAAATTGAGGCAACTTTCAAGAAAAATCACCTTTGGTTCCCAGAAGACCTGAGAAATGGATCATGCCTGAAAGCGGGGATACTAAGCAAGGCATCAACATGTGTTTTGACAGTCTGTACAATCAGAATAGCTAAGCAAATATTTTACATGAATGGTACAGGGGATAGAAGATGTATTCTAGACCCAGAATTACAGGGTGACTCCTGAACAGGTCATTTCTTCCAGTAGGGTCACAGCTTCCAAGTTTATTTCAAAAAGAGGGTTGAATTGGCTGTGCCTATAATCCCTTCAATTCTCAAAGTGAGAGAATGTATGTGTGAGTGTCTATGTGTGCACACCCATTCAAGTGGTATGTATCGGGTAGCAGGTTCATTTTGTTACAGAAAGAAGTCAGCAGCTGTGGCAAACATAAAGATCTGATTTTTAAGCACACTGTTTTCCTCCCCAGAATAATGCCTGATGATCCCACTCAAAGCTGCATTCTGTACTATCCAACTCTTTGTGGTTCTCATCCCACTTATTCTGCTGTACATTTTCTTTAATCCACTGCACTTATTCTAACATAGTCTATTATTTACATATTGTTTATTTTTATTGTCTGCTCGCCAGCTAGACTGTACACTCATGAAAAACAGCAATCTTTGTTTTGTATTCTGGTATCTGTTTCCTAAGTGCCTACCCACATAGATGCCAATCAATACATTTGACTGAACCAGTTGAGTATAAATACATAGCCAAAAGACAAATCCAGGGGCGCCTGGGTGGCTCAGCGGGTTAAGCCTCTGCCTTCGGCTCAGGTCATGATCTCAGGGTACTGGGATCGAGCCCTACATCGGGCTCTCTGCACAGCAGGGAGCCTGCTTCTTCCTCTCTCTCTGCCTGCCTCTCTGCCTACCTGGGATCTCTCTCTCTCTATGTCAAATGAATAAATAAAATCTTAAAAAAAAACAAAAAAGACAAATCCATTCTCTCCATTTCCCTCTGGGAAACAATCGTTAGTATACACGCTGCAAGCAGGAAAGGGAAGAGCAGTTTCTCACAATTCTTTGAGAACTGGGCTGATCAAGTGACCAAAGTCCTTAAGTTCTCTTCCCTCTCTCCACATATTTTGGAAAAAATCTCATCTCCTAAAAGCACAAAATTGGTCATACAAAGATTCAGAAATTAGGAGCAAATACACTTTAAAGTAGCTGCCAAGTTTTTCGTAGAGGTGGATAGAAAGCTCATCTCCAGACCCTTGAACCTAGAGACAGAAGAGAGCACAGTTTGGCATCACCACCACAAATGAACAAACGGAGAAAGGCATATTATAAGCAGGGTAAAGAAAACTTAACCCAAAAACATCTTCACAATTACAAAGCACAAATGTATGCAATATTAAGGGCCTAAAGTGATTCTGTCTTTCCCTCCATCAGCTTTCATTTTCCCATGCTCCCATCTACAATCTAGAGTATACTGAATTTTACAGCACCAACTGTATAGTCTGGTATAATCTCTTTCAGTGGCTTGCTTCTAAAATAAGTTAAAAGTTAAATCCATGCCTCTGGATTACTATAATAATAAAAGAGACTCTGGAATGCTAAAAGCATACCTCTCTCTCTGTAAACAGACTGAAATCTGTCTGAGCAAAACTCACAAAGACAGAGAGATCAATGCACAGAACAAAGAAAGCCATTTGGAAAATCCCAATGACCAACCAACTTCTTGATCTAGCTCCAACAGGATGAGGGAGGAGGATCGTGATTAAAACAGCAGAGAAAAGGATCACTTGGATTGGTCTGCCTGGGAAAACTACCAAGGGAGTGATACATTCCTGCATGTAAGACACAGGAAATGGGAGGGAAGCCACTGGAAACTGATGATGGAAAAGACTAAATTTAAGCCCATCCAACATCAGCAGCCAGATGTTCCAAGCGCCAAGCCCACATTAGTATCTACTCCAAGGGCTAGGCCATCAAGGGCGCTGATGAGTACTGGAAAGCCCCCAAGATCAGATTTCTTTACAGAAGAAACAAAACACCAAAATGAAACAAAACTACCAACGGTTTGGACCTGATTTTAAAAACAAACCAAAAACAGGGGGCCCAAAGCAGGTTTCTTTGGCATGAAACAAACAGGTTCTGTTCTCAATCCTCACCATTAAATTGGGTTTTGGATACAGAGAAAAAAAGTATGAGAAGAAAGCATAACCAAACACAATCAACTACAAAAACAAACCAAACTGAAATGGCTAAGATATTTCAAACTAGAAACAGACATAAATTCCTGAGATAATTAGCAGTGTTGGGAGCACCTGTTCATATACTAAGATAATCCTTATCTGTGCAAGAAAAGGAAGCGGAGTGACAGGAACGAAGGGTAAGAAAATGAAGAGTTTATAGGGCGCCTGGGTGGCTCAGTGGGTTAAGCCTCTGCCTTCAGCTCAGGTCATGATCTCGGGGTCCTGGGATCGAGCCCCGCATCAGGCTCTTTGCTCAGCAGGGAGCCTGCTTCTCCCTCTCTCTCTGCCTGCCTCTCTGCCTACTTGTGGTCTCTCTTTCTCTCTGTCCAATAAAAATAAATAAAATCTTAAAAAAAAAAAAATGAAGAGTTTATCAAGAGTCCAGCCCACCACCTGAAAATTATGCCCAAGTATTCTAGAACAGTCTAATAATATGACACATAAACCAGGAAGACCCTGGATTTCAACATTGTACACACCCTCCTGGCCCTATGTCCACAGTTATGCAAATGAATCCAACAATATAAGGGCAGCATGCATTTTCACCATGATAGACATCAACACAGACCTCACCTTGTCACTGTCATCATGACAAATGTGGTCGTGATGGATGGACTGGAACTGAAAAGAAGCACCAACACTACCTACAAGAAAAAGGGAGGAAAAGTTAAGATGCAATAAGTCCTTACATTTAAACTGTTTTTCCAATTAAAGGTGCTTTTATATCTATTACCCCATCTAATCCTCAACAATACTCAGAAGTACGCTGGATAGGGGTTATTATTCACACAGTTTAATTAAGCAAAACAAAACAGAGAGGCTGACTTGAACAAAGTAGTAGTCAGTGAAGTGGGTCTGAAACTAGCTCTCGTTGTTCAAACTCCTTATTCACCATTTTCTACTATACTGAGCAGTTTAGCTTTCAAAGGCCACCTAACTCAGCATAACAGCTTTTAATAAGGCAAACCTTTCTAGAGGGCGCCTGGGTGGTTAAGCAACTGCCTTCAGCTCAGGTCATGATCCTAAGTCTGGGGATGGATTCCTGCATCGGGCTCTCAGCTCCACAGGGAGTCAGCTTCTCCCTCTGACCTTCTCCTCTCTCATGCTCTCTCTTTCTCACTCAAATAAATAAATAAAATCTTAAAAAAAAGAAAGAAAGAAAGAAAGATATATACCCATCTTCAGACTACACAAACTTTCTTTGAGGAAAAAAGATTGCCCTATAAATTCTTAGCATACAGATAATACAATCTAATACACAATCATATACGATTACAAATAAGTTAGTGCCTTAAAAGCATGTATTTTAATAGACATATTTGTTAATTTGAAGAACTATCTCCTAATAATAACTGCTTTTAATAGCGATATTTCTAACTAATAGGAAAACAAATGGTTATTCAAGAAACGATTAAAACAACTAATTTGAAAAAGTTTTGGTTCCTATGTCATACCATACAGAAAATGGTGGCTCAAAGATATAGGCAAATATAAAAAAAACATGACGTCAGTTTTAAAAGAAAGTGCAGACTAAAAGAAAAAAAGGAAAATACAGACTTGAAATATAATCTTGGAGTAAGAAAACCCTTTTGAAAGATAGCCAAAACAAAAACTACAAATAAAAAGTTAGCAAGCCAGGGGCGACTGGGTGGCTCAGTGGGTTAAGCCTCTGCCTTCGGCTCAGGTCATGATCTCAGGGTTCTGGGATCGAGCCCCGCATAGGGCTCTCTGCTCGGCAGGGAGCCTGCTTCCTCCTCTCTCTCTGCCTGCCTCTCCGCCTACTTGTCATCTCTGTCAAATAAATAAATAAATAAAATTTAAAAAAAAAAAAAAAGTTAGCAGGCCAAAAAAAAAAAAAAAAAGGTTAGCAGGCATGACTATCTACCTCAGGTGAGCAAAATCCCTTCTCCTCAAGCATGAGAATTTGACTTAGGGATAATCCCTGTTAACCTGATTAAAACAATATGCCATGTAGGTGACTTGGGAACATTGCTTATGATGGAAATTGCCAAACTAGTAAGCTGCATCTGGACTAGAAGTACAACAGACACTTAGTAGGAAGCCAGGTTTTTGAGCTTCTCTGGGTCTGGTGACATGTAATGAAGGCATGTCCCTTGCAGAGGATCCTAGAAACTATGCCTGTGGAGTTCTCTACAGCACCAAAATTTAAATAGGAATTTAAATTTCAAAAAAGCACTTTGGAAAATATGAACTGCTACATGGACTACTGCAAGGACTCCCACTATTTTTTTTTTTTTAAGATTTTATTTTTAAGTAATCTCTATACCCAATGTGGGGCTTGAACTCAAAACGCCAAGATCAAGAGTCCCATGCTTTACCAACTGAGCCAGCCAGGTGTTCCTGGACTCTCACTATCTTACTTATAGTTTCTGTCCTAAATCTTCCTGAAGAAAGTGGTACCAAGTGAGACCTACAGTGGTTTTACCAGTCTGGTAAACCTAAGATATCCCACTGCTACCTACCATATTCCTTAAATTTACCATGCCATCAATTCAGATGTCCAACTATTTCATGTGCAACTGAGAATGCTACCAACTAAACTTTGACACATTTTTTTAAAATATTAAACATTTTTTATTTCATACTTACTGAAATAACTTTTTAAGACTCATTTAAAGGTAGATTATATATTATTATTACGTGCTGATAAAAAGAAAATCATGTCAGAATGGCTAAGATCAAAAACTCAAGAAATAACAAATGGTGAGGATGTGAGGAAAAAAATCCTCATGCACTGTTGGCAGGAATGCAAGTTGGGACAGTCACTATAGAAAACAGTACGGGGGCTCCTCAAAAAATTAAAAATAGGGGCACCTGGGTGGCTCAGTCAGTTAAATTCCTGCCTTCAGCTCAGGTCATGATCTCAGGGTCCTGGAACTGAGCCCCATGTCTGGCTCCCTGCTCAGCAGGGAGTCTGCTTCTCCCCCTCACTCTACCCCCTTCCCCTGGCCTGTGGGCTCTCAAATAACCAAATCTTTAAAATAAACAAACAAATAAACACCTTCTACAGATATTACTCAAGATGGATCACAGAACTAAATGTAAAACACAAAACTATAAAACTTAGAGAAGATAACAAAGGAGAAAATCCAAGAGACCTTAGGTTTAACAATGAGTTTTTAGGTACAACAGCAAAAGCATAATCCATGAAAGAAAAAAAAATTGGTAAGATGGACTTAGTTAAAATTAACTTCTGCTCTATGAAAGACGTTTAGAGAATAAACAAACAAACAAAAAGCCAAAACTGGAAGAAAATATTTGCAAAATGCATGTCTGGTAAAGGACTGGTATCTAGAAGTATTCTAAGAACTCAAAACTTGGGACGCCTGAGTGGCTCAGCAGGTTGGGCCTCTGCCTTCGACTCACATCATGGTCTCAGGGTCCTAGGATGGAGTCCCGCATCATCAGGCTCTCTGCTCAGCGGGGAGCCTGCTTCCCTCCACTCTCTGCCTGCCTCTCTGCCTACTTGTGCTCTCTCTCTGCCAAATTTAAAAAAAAAAAAAAAAAAAAAGAACTTACTCAACAGTTAGAAAACATACAACCAATTTTAAAATGGGCAGGGTTTCTCTTTGACCTTTGGCCCCGAATATCAGAACTCAATCCTTTGCTACTACTGGAAAACAGAAGCATCCGAGAAGTGAAAGAATGCACAAAACTACCAGCTTCCCCTGCCCCATAAGACAAAGATGTAGACAGACTGCTCAAACTGAATTCCTGAAGAATAAAAACAGGTCTTAACACAGCTATGGGTAAGCTAATCAGAAAAAGAAGTACACAGCAGCAAAAGAAAAAACAAGGGGGCCAATTTTTGAAACTTGAGAAAGAATCTAGTAGAGAATAAACCAAACATACTGTATTAGTGACAGTGCTTACAATGAGTGTTCTGGTTCTTTTCAAAGACATTTTACAAAATTATTATTCTGGCTCATGAACCTACCCTGCCACCCATAGGCAGAGAAGGGGCCAGGGGGCCAAAGTGACAGTATGCTTCCAGGCAGACAAGGCTTGTTCTTCCACCTGGTGGCCCATTCAACGGTCTGCGAATACCAACATTACAGTTCTCACTCTAGGTTCTTAACTTGGGACCCAAGACTTTTATGGGAATAAAATTTTAACTTTATTATTAACTTAATATCAAATAGAAAAAATTCATTCTCTTATGAATCTAGCAACAAATCACAGTAGTATTGACAGTATTCGTGACTCCAACGCTAATAAAAACCACATATATTTTCATGTAATAGTTGTTGCACGTATACTGAAATGTCACACATATCAATACTCTGAGGTTTTGTGGGGTTTTTTCCACACATACCACTATTTTGAATTTATGATAGCTACTAGGAACACTGCTAAAATATGTTATCTAAATGCATTAATAAAGAGGCAAATGTACTTTTACTGCAAATTAGCTTTCATTGTTTTGACAACCACATTCCAGCATAACTTATTTTCTTTGTAATCTCATGCATTTTACTTTATGCAATTAAAAATATTCTCCTGGAAAGGGGCCTAATAAACTTCATCTGACTACCAAAGGAGTCCAAGACACACAACAAAAACAGTTAAAAATCCTACTTCAGCCAGCAAAGTTGCTGGGCCCAGGAGAACAAACCACATCAGAAGCTTTGTAAGGGAAAAGAGACATGGAACATCTTGAGGAGAGTCAGAAAAAATGTAGGAACCTGAAGGAAGAGAAAAGAAATGAAGATTAGGGGCACCTGGGTGGATCAGTCAGTTGATCATCTGACTCTTGGTTTCAGTTCAGGTCACGATCTCAGCATTGTAGGATCAAGCCCATCATCAGAATTCCCACTTAGTGGGGAGTCAGCTTAAGTTTCTCTCCCTCTGCTCACCACCCTCCCGCAGCCGCACAAGTACACACACTCACTCACTCTCTAAAATCAATAAATCTTAAAAAAAAAAAAAAAAGGAAAGAAATGAAGATTAAAGTCAGGGTATGAAGCCCAATGTTTAGAACTAGGGAACATGAAGAGGTCAAAGGTGAAACACTGAAATGAAGTAGAGAAGTTTCAGAGCAACCGCCAAGAATGTGAGCTAGTGCTTTAATCCACAGAAGTAGGTAGTGATGTAAAGCAAAGACACTATTTGCCATGTTGCCAGAGACCACCACACTACCAGAGATCCATTAGTCAAGGTGGCCCTGGGTGGCTCAGTTGGTTAAGTGGCTGACTCGTGATCTCAGCTCAGCTCTTGATCTCAGGGTTCTGAGTTCAAGCCCTGCACTGAGCTCCTCACTGGGTGTGAAGCCTACTTAAAAAAAAAAAAAAAAAAAAAATCCAGTACTCAATTCTGAATCCTCATTTTTCTTGATCTATTCACAGCAACTGACTCACTTGATTCTACTCTCCTTGAAACCCTTTTCCTCACTTGGCTTCATGGAAACGTCCCACATTACTGACTGCCAACATCTCAGTCCTATTTGCTAGATTCTCTTCATCTCCCCAATTTCTATGGAATGTTCCAAAGATTAATCCTCCAACTTCACTTTTCTATCTATATTTACTCCTTTTGTGATCCCAACTAGTCCCATGGCTATATCCCCAAACCCTGACTCCCCCACCTCCCATGGCAAGGAAATCTAGATTTCTATATCCTTTCT